CCCATCCCCTCCTGCAGCAGCAACGTCCTCAGGGTCAAGTTACCTTCCCCGGGGAAGAGCAAACCCCAACCTGGGTCCAGTGGGCCTCAAGGACTGCCCCCAATCCCCAGCTTAGAAAGTCTTGGTTTGGCCTTGACTGCAAGTCACCACAAGATTCATGGCTCCCCAGCAGAAGCTGCCAGAGTCTTCTTTCCTGCATGAACTAGAGTGTCCTGATAACTGAGAGACCACTTCGGCTGAAGTCGAGATATTCTTTCAGTATGTGGGGGTCCCCAAAGCCACACACCCCCCCACTTGGGAATAGGAGACCATGCCTCCCCCCACCTCCACTGCCAGGGGACAACTAGCCTCTTAGGCTGTTCCCTCCCTGAGGCCTCCCTTCCCAAGCTGGCTACAGGTGGACATCCACTCTTCCCCTTCCAACTCCCTTCAGAGGCCCTTGGGCCACAGACCACAGGTCTAGCCCTCCCTTCACTAACCATCTTGTCCTCACTAAGCCTTCTTCCTGTAGTGAATGGGTTGCTCTGCCAAGGCCTGGCACGCAGGTTGGAGGTGCTCAGGAAACCCCAGCTCAGAGCTATGATAGATGGAGCAGGACAAAAGTCCAGACTGGAGGCATGGACCAAGAAGCTAGGAGAACAAAACAGGACAGGGTCTCTGTTCTCTTGGCCACCCAAGGCCTAGGAGTCTCCAGACTGGTCACCTCCTGGAACCAATAGCACCTCTCTGGGCCCAGCAAACTTCTCCCCAGCCCGAACAAAGGGCCTGATCCCTGGGGACCTGACCCACCAGGGGTTGGGTCCCTCCCACCATCATCCTGTGCCCCTTTCCCCATGCCCAGACTGTGAGGTGAGGGCATGGGGAAAGGGGCACGAGGTGATGGTGGCAGGGACCCAACAAAGAGTCAGGCAAGCCTGGGTCCCTGTCCCTGTTGCCCTTGGCTGCCCAGGTGGTCCTCATTTGGCCAACCTGGGCCTCAGTTTCTCCATCTGTAAAACAGAGCTGGCGGGGTGCGGTGGCTCACACCTGTAATCCCAGCACTTTAGGAGGCCAAGGCGGGTGGATCACGAGGTCAGGAGATCCAAACCATCCTGGCTAACACAGTGGAACCCCGTCTCTACTAAAAATACAAAAAATTAGCTGGATCTGGTGGCACGCGCCTATAGTCCCAGTGACTCAGGAGGCTGAGGCAGGAGAATGGTGTGAACCCGGGAGGCGGAGGTTGCAGTGATCCGAGATCGCGTCACTGCACTCCAGCCTGGGCGACAGTGTCTCAAAAACAAACAAACAAAAAACAGAGCCATGAGGCACCCACCTCTTGAGGTTAAAGAAACAACATATGTGAATCAAGTTCTGGGCCCTGGAGTTGGGGAGTGGGGGGAACCCCTCCACTGGAGCGTTTGGGAAGGCTTCCTGGAGGAGGGAGGGGGACCCGTGGGAACGGTCTAGGTCTAAGCCTCTCTGGGATCTGGGAGGGCACCGCGGCCCCAAAGGTATTTCAGGCTAGTCCTGCTGCTAACTTCCCACCATCACACTCCACAAACAGCTAGAGCTCAAAAGTTGCGTTTTGGTCTTCCCATAAAGCGACAGAGTAGCACCTGGCATTTGATAAGCGCTACAAGGGGTCGTCATGGTGGTGGTGGTGATTATTGGTGTGTGTGTGTGTTTGAGACGGAGTCTCACTCTGTGGCCCAGGCTGGAGTGCAGTGGTGCAATCTCGGCTCACTGCAAGCTCCGCCTTCCGGGTTCACACCATTCTCCTGCCTCAGCCTCCCAAGTAGCTGGGACTACAGGCGCCCGCCACTACGCCAGGCTAATATTTTGTATTTTTAGTAGAGACGGGGTTTCACCGCGTTAGCCAGGATGGTCTCGATCTCCTGACCTCGTGATCCGCCCGCCTTGGCCGCCCAAAGTGCTAGGATTACAGGCGTGAGCCACCGCGCCCGGCCAATGGTGGTCATTATTGTTGAAGGACCCTCGCCACCCCCACGCGGCCCGCCGCCCCTTCCCTGAATGGCGGCAACTGCAGTCAGGCCAGCAGCGTCCTGGGCGGATTTAGACCCTGGAGAAGTCTGAAATTCCTCACCCCGACCCTCGTCCGGGAGGCTCAGGCTGGCCCTTCCAATGGCACTGGTGGGGCGGGGCGGCGGGGCAGCCGCCCGGGCCGCCAGGCCCATAGGCCCCTCCTCCTGCCAGGCTCTCCGCCCTTTACACGGTCCCGGGAGAGGCGGGGCGGCGGTGACTGCAGCGAAGTGCAGGAAGCCGGGCGGCGGCCGGCAGTGAGAAGGAGGAGGAGCGAGCAGACTTGGGTGGCTCAGCGCCGCGGAGGCCACAGCCGCAGACTTCCCCAGTAGTACCGCGCCGCTCCGCCCCGGAGTGACGCCCTCCGCCCATGGGCCTGGCCGAGGGCAACCGGCGGGCGGCGCGGAGGAGGCGGCGACAGGTGGCGCGCAACAGGGCTGGAGCCGGGCCGGGCCATGGCCGCCTCGGAGCGGCTCTACGAGTTGTGGCTGCTCTACTACGCGCAGGTGAGCCCGCCCCGCATCCGCACCCGCGGTGCCCCCAGCTTCCCGCGCCCCGCGCCTGCTGCACCTGCGCCCAGCGCCGCTGGGGCCGCGTAGCCGCGCGCGCGCGAAGGGCATGCAACGGCTCCGCACACACGTGTGTGCCCCCAGCCCGTCGGGTGCCTCTGGCACTTACGCCTCGCGGTCGTGCACTTCATAGCAACCCACCCCCCAGCAGGACCGTGCAGCCTGAGTCTTTCTTGCTAGAGGAGAGTGGCCTGGGCCGAGGCGGCCGGACGCTTCTTCGCCTTTTTACAAATGGGGAAACTGAGGCCTGGAGAGACCTGGAGACTGGCCAGGAGGCTAGGGGGAGGGGGACTCAATTTGTATATGGGCTGCCTCTCCCTTGGGCGCAGCCCGACTGGGTGGTCGTGGCCAACGGGTCTGGGGGTGTGGGCCAACGTAAGGGGGTGTGTGTGGGCCGACGTAGGGAGGTGTGTGGAAGGGGAATGCTCCCACTTCAGGTCCTTCTTGAGTTGCATCCCCCCACACCCCCAGCAGACAGGCTGCGATAAGCTCCTCCCTGACTTGAAACCACCCACCCTGCCCCCATTCTGAGGGGTGGACCCAGGACCTCTCTAGGAGCAGAAGAAAAAGTTTTGCTCTGGATGCCCAGGGTGAGGGTGGGGCGTTGATTCCCTGAAGGATGTCTGAAAAGGTTGGAGGGAGGCCCTTTCCTCCTGAGCTCCCCACCCGACTCAGAGAATACTTCAGGTGGTCTCAGAAGGTGAGGGGAGTGACTCTGACCTGGGTGTCCCATCAGCTGAGAACCTGGTGTCACTCACACCGTCTCACACACATAGTCCCCCATTTTCCTTCTGCACCCACAGCAGGGAGGGATCCCAGGGTAACACTCCCCTCCCCTTCACCCAGCACCTCCCTCCTTGCACCTGCCTGGCATCATGCTCCTGGCTCAGGTGTGCCCTGGGCACAATAGACCATTGTGTGCCCTGAACAGTTTGTCAGTGGGGGGAATTCATGCTCAGACGCGCTGGCCCTCCATGAGGAGGCTGGCCCACTGTGTTCCACCAACCTGGAGTCCAGGCCAAAAGGACCACAGCCTCTTCAGTCCGCTCAGGTTGTGAGAGGTCTATGCCCCCGGCAGGAGGCCAGGCATGGAGTAGAGTCCCTCTTAGGTATAACTCAGATCAAACTCGACTTCTGAGCCTCTGCTTCCCGCCTGTAAGATTGACACAGCCCTGGCCGGGCAGCCCTGGCCGGGCGTGCTGGCTCACACCTGTAATCCCAGCACTTTGGGAGGCCGAGGTGGGCAGATCACAAGGTCAGGAGATCGAGACCATGCTGGCCAACATGGTGAAACCCCGTCTCTACTAAAATACAAAAATTAGCTGGGCATGGTGGCGCATGCCTATAGAATCGCTTGAACCAGGGAGGCGGAGGTTGCAGTGAGCCGAGATTGCACCACTGCACTCCAGCCTGGGGACAGAGTCTGTCTCAAAAAAAAAAAACAAAAACAAAAACAACAACAACAACAACAAATTACACAGCCCTGACCTCAGGGGCTTCCTAGACTCTGTGGAGAGGTAGCCATTATAGCTGGTCCAGACCAGAGAAGGCTCCTGTTTCCCTGGCCCCACTGGGTCCCCTTGCCCCAGCTTCTCTGCCTCCATCCCCAGTGGTTGTGAAGGAGCAGAGGATTTGAAGAGAAGCCTACCCCTAGTCCTCCCTCTGACTGCCCCATAGCTATGGGCAGGTTCTAGGTGCATGGGCAGGTAAAGGGGACTTAAACCAGGTGATGAGTGTGAGAGATGTTAATGACAGGTCTTCAGGCCGGGTGGCAGGCTGCTGGGAGTGTCTTGGTATCTCCCAGGACAGTAACTCCAGCATGGTTGCCTCCTGATGCCCCATCTAGCTGAGCTCTGTACATGGCCAGCCCCCATCCCCTCAGGAGGTGGTTATGGCTCATATCTGTGCTGAGCCTCCCGCTCCAGGAGCTCCTCACCTCACAGGGCAGATATGGAACATAGGCTGGCAGGTTGTAGCTTTGGAAGCCTGAGCAGGCAGAGGGCAGTCTGGGGCCAGGCAAACAAATCCAGGATGTGACAGCAAACTCAGGAGCCAGGCGGGGCCAGGCTGCCTGGGAAGAGGAAGCTAGGGCCAACCTCCCAGCTCGCCTTCCTGCCCGCCTGCTCCTGCTCCTGGAACCCCCAATCCAGGGAGGAGTAGTGCTATGCAACTTTGAGTCCTGTTAGGGACCTATTGTGTGTGTGCTTGGGGAGGGGGAGTGCAAGGTAAGGGGCGGAGCTGGAAGTGGGTGTTTAGAGACCCTTTAGTTGGCCAGCCACCCAGCCAGCAACACCTGTACCCCTCCCTTCAGCTGTGAGAGCTGACATCAGCTGGCAAACCTGTTTCCCCAGTTGTGGGTCTGGGTGGGGATGGAGAGGGGGGAGTAACTCCTTCCTGCCCTTCCTCTTCCTTAAAGACCCCAGGTTTAGACCCACCCACCCCCTCTCCTTGTGGGCCCGGCTCAACTGGGGGCCTCATAGTGAGGGAGGGGGCTGTGGGTGGCCGCTGAGGGAAGAGGGAAGAGTCAGAGCACCCCAGGACCTCACTCAGTTGAAGCTCCTTAGGGCCCTGGTGGGGAAACCAAGGCAGGGTCCTACCACGATTGTCAGACCTCACATGTAGTAGGTGCTTCTTGGGTATTAGCTGAAGGGTGGGTCCCATAGCAGTGACCAGTCAGGAAGTTACCCCAGAGGAGGCTGAGTTTGGGCTTTGAGGGCTGAGAGGAAGGAACAGCAGGAGCAGTGAGACAAGAAGCAAATTGTCAGGAGTTGGGGTAGGGCAGAGCTAGTCAAGCAGGCCTGGTGGACAGTGGGGGCTCATCCAGAGGACTCCAAGCCCACCAGAGCTCCCCCAGGGAAGGCATAGGAGGGACAGGGGAGTCTTGGGGGACTGGGGACAGCACCTGACAGGCTGGCGGTTGGGCAGCCCATAAAAGTTAATGCCATATAGCATGCAGATGAGTGGTCCCTGTTCAGGCAGGAGCAGCAGTGATGTTCAGCAACCCCCCCAGTGAATGGGGTCACAGAGTGAGGGGGCACTGAATGTGGAAGGGCACTCAGGGTCACAAAGGTCAGGGCAGAACAAACCCTCAGGTGACAGGAGGGAGCAGAAGCTGACCTGTCCAGCTATGCCACTGAGGCCTCAGAGGGGTCCAGGGAGGTTAGGTCAGGCTGGAGGCAACCTCGTCCTGCCCACACTTCCCCCAGTTCCCTCTCCCTAACTGATCTCTACTGCCTCTTAGAAGCCTGGTCAGGCCCTCCACTTCCCCTGGTACTTTATCTGGTCATATTCCTTTTTGGGCCTCAGCTTACCTTCCTGAAATGGGTGAATGGAAGGTGGAATCACTTCCTTGATGCTTGGTCCCCTGCTTCTATTACCAAGGCGCCTGAAGGAGGAGGGTCTGTAGTGACAGGGAGATGAGCACACAGCCCAGGCTTGGGTGGCCACTGGACATTCCTGGGGTTGTTATGACAACTGGGGAGCTGATGGGGAAGTGTGGGGTCCCCGGAGAAACAGGGTCAGTTACTATGGGTCTATAGGGACCCTGGAAGGAGATTGCCATTTTCCATAGTGATAGTAAAAGGGGGTGGTCAGCTCTTGAGCCGCTTGCTTGAGCCTGTTTCCATTCTGTGGAGTGTGATTTCATTTCAATAAATCTATGCTTTCCTTGCTTTAAAATATATATACATATACATACATAGTACAAGGGGATGGTCAGGCCCTGGGGCAGGGTGGGTGTCATGGAGATCAGAAGGTCCCCCCTTTCAGCACCCCCTCTCCAGGTAAGGGGGAGAGACTGGCCCAGCCACCCAGGCACTCAGACCACTATCCTCAGTTGTCCCTGCCCCAGCAAAGTCCCATCTTCCTGCTTCATCCCATGGCCTAACATCCTCCAAGCCTGACCTCCAGTCCTGGTGATGTAGCCAGAAGTCACATTTAGCTTGACATTGCCCTCCCCATCCGGATACTGAATTGGGGGACACCCTAGGCCTGAGATAGGCTATTCCACACAGACCCCACCCTGTCCCATTTCTGCTTGTCTATCCCTGAAGATGGAGTGCTCACTACCAGCCAGGCAGCTCTGACTGAGAGGAGTCACCCACTCTTGAGCTGTGTTCTTCTCTCCCTTCCTGCTCCTAGCTCTTCCCTGGGGTCTATTAATGCCTCTTACTGTCACTCACAGTGGGGGCTGAGGGTTGTTGCCTGGAATTCAGGGAGCTCGGGCAGTCCAGAGCCCCTGGATCTGGAGCTCCACTCACCTTACCCTGACCTCGAGTTGGGAAGGTATGGCTGGAGAACTTTTACCCATGAAGCAAAGGGATGGTTTTAAAGAGGTGAATGTTAGGTAACAAGCCACCGAGAGTTAGAATGGGGACTGGACTCCGGAACCCATGTGCTCACCACTGATTTGGTTCGTGAGAGGCACCAGACAGGAATAGGTCTTACAAAGGGTGCTGATGCCCCTGATGGGGGCATTCCAGCAGAGCAAACAAGAGCAAAGCACAGGCAGACCTGTGGGGGTAGAGACAGCGAGTCACGCCCTTGGGCCCGGGCATCCTGCAGGTTTAGGGTGTGGAGGCTGGAGGTGAGGTGGGCACCACCCACACAGGGCCTCAGATGTGAGCTTGTGATAGGGCATGTGACTGGCTGATCAGGCTGTGATGGTGACAGATGTCTACTCGAGGCCCACTGTGCGCTGGACTTGGGGTACGTCAGGCAGGGTCTGGGAGCAGCATGGTGTCAGGCAGCTCAGTGATCCCTGTCACCTTGGCAAACAAGGTGTACTCCCTGTACTCCCCACCAGTGTCACAACCACCAGCCCTCAGCCCTCCGGGTTACTTCAGAATTCCAGAGGAGTCTCAGTTCCATGCGCAGCCAGGGACTGTTTGAGCCTAAGCAGCCCTCAGGAGCCCCTCACCCCCAGCACTCTCAAGTGCCCTCACAGCTAGTTGGGCATAAGTTGGGGTCTCTGTGGAGGCGGCCATGAGACCCCCTCTTCCCAGGGACACCGGCCTTCCCCATTCCCACAACCTTCTCCCCTGCTGCAGGACCTGGGCATCACTTACCTATGGGCCCTGGAGAGGGCTTGGCAGGTGTAGCTGCTCCCAGCCTGCCCTCAGTGGGGGACAGGGTTGGGGCTCTTACCCAGTTAGGTGGGAGCGAGGGGCTGGACTGTCCCTGACCCATGTTCCTGCTCAGAGCTGGCACAACTGACCAAGGCAGAGGCTCTGAGAGGGGCATGGGAAGCCTGAGCATCACGGCCACCCCTCCCAGGCCCTGGACCTTCACATGCAGCACTGCTACTATGCTCTCATCCCCTGCCATTCTCTGCCTTCTGACCCTGGCTCCCTGAGGGACTCCCATACCCCAACACATCACAGTCTCAAGCCATGGGGCCTAGGCCAGAGTTGGCCTGAGTCCTTCCAGGGAGAAAAGGTAAGACCCAGGGAGGCAGGACAGGCAGCCACCCCACCCCTGCCCAATACTGTGCTTTGGAGACCTCCTCATCCCCTTTCAGAGCCCCTGAAGGCTGTCTTGATTGCCCCAGCCCTGAACCCAGCTCAGCCCAATCTGCTGAAAGTTTACAGGACTGCACAGGCCAAGGCTGTGGTTCTAGGGACAGAAAGCAGGAGTATGTAGAGATTGAGGGACCCACCCCTGTCCTGGGAAGGCTGATCAAGGTGATGGCCACCAGGAGGGTGGGAGGTTCCTGCTCAAGTACTACAAGCCCAAGTTACACAAGGCAGTAGGGCATAGGGTGGGCAGAGGCCTGGACAAGAGGATGTGAACCACAGATGGGGAGAGGTGGAAGCCGGAGAAGCAGGTCCTGGTTGGACCAGCAGCCTGGAATGCCAGGCTCAGCAGTCGAGCCTTTATGGGGAGGGGTTAGACATGGTCAAATGTGGGCTTTCTGGTGCTCAGTAGAGCTGCAGCTGGCAGGAAGACTCCCATTTTGAGTGACTGGCTTGACTGAGGGGCAGAAGAGGGGAAGACAGCATTGGGACATTTTTGAAGGCAGCCAGCGGTCTCTGTGGGGCCATTGAGGCAAGGATCGGGTTACATGGTCTGCATGGGCTGGCTTGCTAGCAATCATGAGTGGTCCTGGCCTAGAACTAAGGTCTGGCTTTCAGCATCCTCAAAGGTACACTGAAGGCAAAGTAGTAGATAAGGCATCCCCTATGGGGCCTCCTGTTTCCCCATCTGTAATGGGAGAGGTTCAGAAGAAATGGTCCAGGACCCCTGGCTGCCTCTGCTGTCTCAGGATCTGGGTATTTTGGGCTCCTTGCTGATTGTTCGGTAGGAGGCTGCCAGCAGGAGAGGGTGGAGAGGTCAATAAATGTCACTGACAGGCAAAATGTCATGGTTGTGTGGGTCTGCTCCATGGTGGCCCTGGCACCTCTCTGAGTTGTCTTCAGATCTGCACTAAAATATACCAGGGAGTTCCCCAGTCACAGGGTGGATGGCTGCTCTGCCTAGGTTTTTGGGGGATCTGGCTCAGGTCTGCTGCGGTCAGGCCTCTTGCCCTGGGGCCATTCAGGCCTTGCCCTGTGGTCTGGGTCCATAGACTGCAAAAATTAGCCATCCATCCAAAGATAGTTCTGGAGGTCCTTGGGTATGAGGTCCATGGCACCTGGGGAGCAGCCTCAGGCCTGCTGAGTACTGACCATGATGTGTCCCTTGCCTCTTCATCTTTTTCCACTCTAGCTCCCCCTGTCCACCTCTCTAACTCTAGGACTCAGCTGGTTGGGAGCTCCAAATGGCGCCAGCCTGGAGGAATTCCTGTATAAGCCACCACCCACTGCTATCCCCTGGGAGGGGCTTAGAGGTTAGAGGAGATACAGGCTAGGCTAGGATTTATCAGCTGTGTTCCTGAGCAAAGAGAACTGCAGGGTCCAGATGAGGTGGCCAGGATATGGCGGTGGTGGGGGGACAAAGGTATGGCTGAGTCTTCTACATCGACCTCTATGGCCTAAGGCCTTGAGCACAGGTCAGGGAGCTGTGGGTGCCTTGAGTGAAGGGTACTGAAGCAGCAGGATCAGAACCCTCACCTGGATAAGAGCTCTTCCAAGCGCCAACCTCATGCTTGTAAAACTAGTCTCTGGCCCACAAGCCCCACCCAGGATAGGTGACTCCACCCCTCTGTAACAGGTCCCACCCTCAGCGCAGGCCAGGTCGCTTGCAGCCTCTCTCACTGGGGCCCAGGGTGCCCCGGCCCCCCCACATCCCTGCGGTCTGCCGGGAGGAAGCGGTCCCCCTCCCCCACCGTGACTTTGCGTTTCCTGCCCCAGCCCCAGGGCGGGAGGAGACGTTTCCCGTTCACACCAAAGTTTTCCTGGCAGCGCCTAGACCTGGGCTTAGCCACTGCCCCTCTTGCCCATGGAACCAGCTCTGGGGCCTGGGGTCCAGGTAACCAGCGAGGGTGGGTGGAGGTTCCCGGGGCAAGGCAGTGCTGCACATGAGGATGTGTGCATGTCTGGGTCTGCCTGTCTAATGGTACACATGTGTCCCGGGATCCACAGTTAAAGAAAGTTACTGAAGGTAACCCCTTCTGCTGGGCTGGGTGACGATGGCAGATGAGGATCCAGCCCAAGGCTCTTGGTAGGGGGTGGCTGCTGTGTGGGACACCTTCTCCAGCCCTAGCACCAGTGTGGGCCACAGCCACACCCCACTTACGCCCCTCCCCTGGCTGTGTCAGACCTGCCTAGGACTGCAGGCGTTAGGGAGGTGGGAGCAGAAACTAGGAGGCTGAGAGAAGCAGTGGGGTGCCTGGAAGAGTGGTCAGTATGTACCTAACTCTCTGATGCTGACCTTCCAATGTCCTGCCCTCCCTCCCCCATCCCTTACTCCCCTCCTCCACACCCACCACTCTGCCTTTAATCCCTTGTCCATGCCCTGTGTCCACCACCATTCATTCTTCACCTCTGTCTACATCCCCTTGTCCCTGCCCTGTTTATTGCACCCCTTCTGCCCCCCACCACTGATCCCCTGCTCTGCCTACAGAAGGACCTGGGTTGCCTGCAGCAGTGGCTGAAGGCCTTCGTAGGTGCCTTCAAGAAGAGCATCTCACTGTCCTCTCTGGAGCCACGAAGGTGAGGCTGGATCTACACAGAGGGCAGGGACAGAGCAGGGAGATTGAGGGGTCCTCAGCACCCATGTCTCCCCTTTCCTTGCAGGCCAGAGGAGGCAGGTGCAGAGGTCCCGCTGCTACCACTGGATGCGCTGCATGTGCTGGCCGAGCAGCTGCACCAGGCCGACCTGGAGGAAGCCCTCCTGCTGCTCAAGCTCTTCATCATTCTGTGCAGGTGTCCCTGTTATCCACTCTACGAGCAGGGGCCTAGAACTGTGGGCCAGAGGGAGCGGGGGCAGGGAGGGGCATGGTATATTATTGTGACCTCTCTCCTCATTGACTCCCCCAGAAACCTGGAGAACATAGAGGCAGGCCGGGGCCAGGTGCTAGTGCCCCGAGTGCTGGCGCTGTTGACCAAGTTGGTGGCGGAGGTGAAGTGGCCTCTACCTTGGGGGGCAGAGGGTACATGCAGGGAGGCAGGCGGTAGCCATGGCAGGGTTAAACCTCTCTCCCCACACCTACAGCTGAAAGGATGCCCACCACCCCAGGACCAAAGGGCACAGTTGGAGAATGTGGCCCTACATGCTCTGCTTCTCTGCGAGGGCCTCTTTGACCCTTACCAGACCTGGCGGCGCCAGCGCAGTGGGTGAGACCCAGCCCAAAAGCAGGGAACCCAGAGGAGGGTGGGGAGAGGATGGCCGTGCTGGGCCCAAGGAGGAGTGAGAGCGGGGAGTGATGAGAGCCGGGCTGATGTACTTGGCCTCACTGCCCCCAGGGAAGTCATCAGCTCCAAGGAGAAGAGCAAATACAAGTTCCCTCCTGCTGCTTTGCCCCAGGAATTCAGTGCCTTCTTCCAAGGTCAGGCCCTGCCCCTACCCCCACTTGGCCCCACCCCCAAACCTAGGCCCCTTCCTGTAGTTCCTTGATCCTGCCATACACAGGAACCACTTGGTGGTGGCTGCATGCAGGTCTGAGAGAACCAAAGACTAGGCCGGAGTTTAGGGACAGAGAGAAGAGAAAGGACATCTTGGGCTGGAGTGAGGGCATCCCATCAGGTGGAGGGGTGGGGTCAACCTGCCTACCCAGATTTCTTATCCTCTTTCCCTCCCATCTCCCAGATCCTTCTAGCCACTTGTACCCTACTCTGATCTTAAAACTCTCTGGTCCAATCCCTTTGTCCCCATAGCCTCCACCCACTCTCCACCCATCCTGGAGACACAGTAGGTATCTCCACCTCCTGCTCCCTGGCTGCTGGAGGATCCGATGCCCAGGACAGCTGCAGCCGCCTGTTCACAGGTGGTCCTGTGAACCTGTTCTCCCTAGTGACCCTTCTCCCCTGGGTCCCCTCTCTTCTCTTATTGGAGGGAGACTGGCCAGGACTTTAGATAGGCTCAGGGTGGGATATGGCCTGGACAGAGGTGGGCAGGGTTGTGAGAAGGTGGTGACCTATTGGGATATTAAGTGTCTCAGTGATGCCCCCATGGAGCTGTGGGCCTGGATCTAGAGTTGGGGCAGCAGCTCCAGGAGGGGAGGCACCCCTAGGGAGCTCCCCGCCTTTATTTTCCCATAGCCTGGGTGCTCTTATTAAAACAAACTGGATTTTATTCCTCCTCCCATCGTATCCCTTGATGTCAACCTGACACCCTCAAGATGAAATCCTACTCCTCCCACAGCCTTTCTCTCCACTTGTCCTGCTGCCCAGCCTCGCTTCTCTCCTCTCATTCCCAGACTGCTACCACTGACCCCACCTCAGGGTCTTAGCCCATGCTGTGCCCTCTCCCCTCCAACTGCATTCTCAGGTCTCCCCTCAAAAGCCCCATCCCCAAGGAGGCCTCCCACCCATCCAACCGGAATCAAGCCCCAGCCCTACTCTTCTTCCTCCCTCAGGCATGTGACCCAGGGCTGGTCTCTTCTGCCCTCTGAGTTTCAGTCCCTGGCCTGGCATCCTGTCCAGCTTTGCTGGCGCAGGGCCAGGTGGGCCTCCTACGTATTAGGCTGTGAAAGCCCCTAGAAGTCCCAAGCAAAGGCATGGGCGTGGGGGAGGTGGCAGCAGTACAGGAGATACAGCAGAATCCCCAGAGCACAGCATGGGAAGCACCAATCGTCACAGGGGCAGAGGGAGCAAGAGATTTGCATCTGAGAAACTAAGCCCTGGTCATCACGGGGAAGAGGAAGGATGTGCTCATGCTGGGGCCCTCACTTTGGCGCTTGAGGATCTAGGAAGCTGGCTAGACTCTCAGGGCTGGGCTATGTCCCCCTTAAGTCCCCCAGAGAAGGGTTGTGTGCCTTTCAGACCCTCTACTATACAGCCATAACTCCTTAGATGCCCCCCAGGGCAAAGCCCAGTCTTATCACTCAGACTGGGTCTTTTACTTGGCCCAGTTCCTTCTCCCCTCCACCCCAGGGCACCCACCTCTTGTGCAGCCCCCTGGGTCCATAGCCCTGCAACCTTGGTGACATTACCCTGCCCACAACCCCCTACCCAGAGAGCCTACAGAATGCAGACCACTTGCCTCCCATACTGCTGTTGCGTCTCATCCACCTCTTCTGCGCCGTCCTCGCTGGAGGAAAGGTAGGCTGGGAGGTGAGCCTGTGGACTAGAGAGCGGCTCTTTCAGCATCTATCTGCTGGGTGCGCCCCTTGCCCACTGCCCATCTGTGTCCACACCTGCAGGAGAACGGGCAGATGGCTGTAAGTGACGGCTCTGTGAAAGGTCTGCTGAGTGTGGTGCGGGGCTGGAGCCATGGGCCAGCCCCAGACCCCCGCCTAGTACCACTGGCTCTAGAGGCACTGGTGGGTGCAGTCCATGTCTTGCATGCCAGCCGCACACCTCCTCGTGGCCCAGAGCTTCGTGCCCTGCTTGAGAGCTACTTCCATGTCCTTAATGCCGACTGGCCAGCTGGTCTGAGCTCAGGCCCCGAAGAGGCCCTGGTCACCCTCCGGGTCAGCATGCTCGGTGGGTATGGGCTCCCAGGCTCTTGGGGAAGGGGCATCATGAGGGAAAAGCCTAAGTGACGATGGAAGGGCCGGATGGGGCAGTATACGAAGGAAGACTTAAGGCTGCCTAGAGGGGTCTGAGCAGGGCTTGACCCTTGACACTTCTACAGATGCCATCCCCATGATGCTGGCATGTGAAGACCGGCCAGTGCTGCAAGCCACCTTCCTCAGCAACAATTGCTTTGAACACCTCACTCGGCTCATTCAGAACAGCAAGGTGGGTAGGGCCCAGCCTGGGGGTGAGGATCTGGAAGCCAGAGGTTAGGGGAGACATGCATAGGTGCCAGGCTGCGGCTGAGCAAACATGGGCTGGACAGAGTCAGTTGTTTGCAGCTGGTGGGATGACCTGCAGTTCAGTGGGAGGGTCTGGGGCATGGACAAGGGCCCGTCCCTTGGGGCCTCTATAGGACTGGGCTTGAGGCTCAGGACAGCTCTGTGCCCCACAGAAGCGGGGCTTGTTACGGAAGGAAGGGAGCTGCTCTGGCGCCTTGTTTCCCTTTCCCTGGCCCCAAGTACAGGGGCTAGAGGAGCACACCACTGCTTTCAGATGCAGTGTCTGCTCCCACCCACTCATCCCCCCGATTGCCCATCTGAGCAGGGCACAGGGGGCTTAGCACCCTACTCTTCCCTAGTGCCAGGCAGGGCACCTGGCAGCTGCTCCTGGTCCTGCTCTAACCCCGCCCTCTCCCATCTTCCTCCTCTCTCTTCTTTGCCTCCTCCACCCTGTGCCTCCCCCTTGCCCACAGCTGTACCTGCAGGCCCGGGCGCCCCCTGAGGGGGACAGTGACCTGGCTACCCGGTTACTGACTGAGCCCAATGTCCAAAAGGTACCATCCTGGGGCTGACCAGCTCAGACACCCCCGGGACTTCCTCTTTAAGCTTTTCCTGCACTATAGCTGGGGGAATGAGCGGAGGTGTGTAAGGCCTGGTGTGGTCTAGCAATGGGTGTGGGTCCTCCATGCTGTCTTGCCTGCCTTCCAAGTCCCCATCCTAGGGAACAGGACAGAAGGTGGTCTATCCCCTGCCTGGTGTTTGATTGGGTGTTGGGGTCTGCCTGTGCCAAGCGGGATGGAACCTTCGAAACTCAACTACCTACCTCATTTCTCAGAAGGGGAGACAGAAGCCCAGACACTCAAGGGTTTGGCTGTAGTCACAGAGAAGGGGGTCTCCCTCATGGTGCCATTTCTTTCTGTAGATTCTTGCACCCACCCTCAGCAGGTCACTGGGTGCCCCCAGCCAGCCCCTGATGATGCATTCCCTGACTCACCTTGCATGTGGGCTGTAGGCAGGTGCAGGGTGTCAGCTGGCAGCTTCACAGTGGGCAACCTTTCTGGGGGCTCAACCTGTGGGCCGCAACCTCCATAGCCCCTACCCTGGCTCTGTCTTCATGAGGTAACCCTATGTGTTCACTGCACATGGTCATTTTCTGAGAGCTGGCACGTCTATTCATCTGCAAAGCAGGCAGGGCAAAGTGACTTCCCTCTGTTTTTACAGATGAGGACACTGAGGCCTGGAGGGAGAAGACTGATGCCTGAGGTCACTTGGGGAGTCAGGCAAAGTTGGGACCAAAGGCCCCATGGAGCCAAATGTGACCTAGTCCCTGCTGAGAAGCTCTCCAAGCCCTCCCAAACCCTGACCCCCTCAGGGTGGGGCAGGAGAGGGAGCAGCATGCCTCTGGCTGTCAGGTTCAGCCAGGCTGAGCCTCAGTGTCCCCACCTGGATCTAGGGGGAAGGGGCAAGGTGGGACTTAAAGGTCTCGAAGGTTCTTTTGGTAACACCCTGTGATTGATTGTCCCTGAATCTCTGACCCTGTCAATCACTGTGGGTGATGGGGCACTTGCTGGCCTGTCTGTACTCGTGTGTCTAGCTTTAGGGAGACAGGTTGCGGGTGGGGCCCTAACTCCACCACAGAAAGGGGGACTGGACGGTGCAGTGAGAGTGTCCACCATTAATCTGTCCCAGTGAGGCCCTTCCCAGCCTTTGTTAGACTGGGTCTTGCTGAGCTGCTCAGAGAGGGCCCTAGGTCATGATAGGGTCACAGCAGTTGGGGCAAGGAGTAGAAGGTCTGGTGCTCCGACAGAGTTGCTGATCTAGCACATGCCACATGCCTTGGGGTGCTTGGCTCTGCACCTTTTTTACTGCAGGGGGCTGCCAGCTGTGACACCCTGGCCCCTGCCTCTCCTGACGGCCCCTCCCAACCCCAAGGTCCTGGACCAAGACACAGACGCCATTGCAGTCCATGTAGTCAGAGTGCTGACCTGCATCATGAGTGACTCCCCCTCAGCCAAGGTGAGGCTGCTGCACTGCAGCTTTAGTCGGGGTGCGGGGTGGAGTTCAACTGACCATATCCCCAGAACAGGCCTGGCCGGTGGCTATAAACATCCTGTTCCCTGGAGCAAAGCGAGCTGGGAGGTGACTGCGCTGCCCTAAAGCACACTGGGCAGGTGTGGTCGCCAGTCTGTCCTGGGAGCTGCATCTCCTCTGTCAGGGCTGGATGGGGAATGGACACTTGTAGACCCACCTCCATCTACAGCCTTCTGAGATGGACTCATGTCCCCCCCATCCCTCTGCAGCCCACTGCCCACCAGTACTGTCACCCAGAGGCAGAGCCACGCAAGGGAACTGCAAAATGTGATGCCCCTCCAGGGTTTCCAGGGAGCCTGAGTTTGCCCTGGGGCACATGTATATGTTCACTTCTTCCCCATACTACCTTACACAGGAGGTGTTTAAGGAGCGCATCGGCTACCCTCACCTGCAGGAGGTTCTGCAGAGCCATGGTCCCCCCACCCATCGGCTGTTGCAAGAGCTGCTCAACATGGTGAGGGAAGGGGCTTGGGACCAGGGTCCCAAAGGCAACCAGAACTGAGTCAGGGTTACCACAGATGGTGAGCTTTCCACCCTGGGGGCCATGTTGACTGCGGCCAGTACATAGTGTGACCTGTAGCCTGGTCATGTCTATCAGTGTCACTGGAATAAGGATTCTGGCCCTGTAGGGATCCTGGAAGCAACTGCATGTTAGCAAGCCCCAGGATTATCTTAGGAACATGCAGTTAGGGGTTAGGCCAACGCAGGCTGAAAACTAAGGTTGAGGGATTAACAGCACTGAAGGATTCTTAGTAGTGGTGATCGTCATCTGTGTCCCTCTGACTTTCCTGAGCCTCACACACAACCTGTGGGCAGGATGGGGTAGATCATGTTGCTGACTGCTGCTGTAGGCAAGTAAATGGAGCCAGAAAGTCCTACTGTTGACAGGGTGCCACAACTGACCAGGGACTGTTATTCTGTCCACCCACAGGCTGTGGAGGGTGACCACAGCTTGTGCCCACCTCCACCAATCCGCAATGAGCAGCCGATACTGGTGCTGGTGCAGTGGCTGCCGTCATTGCCCACCGCTGAGCTGCGGCTCTTCCTAGCACAACGCCTCAGGTGGCTCTGTGACAGCTGCCCTGCCAGCCGTGCCACCTGTGTGCAGGCAGGCCTGGTGGGCTGCCTGTTGGAGACACTCAGCACAGGGCTAGCCCTGGAGGCCCGCTGCCAAGAGCAACTGCTGGCACTGCTACAAGCACTGGGCCGTGTATCAATAAGGCCCATGGAGCTGCGTCACCTGCTGCGCCCTCCGCCAGGATTGGACTCGGGACCAGGTGGAGCTGAGGCTGGAAAGGCCCGACACGCAGGTGCTGTCATCCGTTCATTATCAGGCATGGCCAGGCACCAGGGCCCTGCACGCGCTCTACGCTACTTTGACCTCACGCCCAGCATGGCAGGCATCATGGTACCCCCTGTGCAGCGATGGCCAGGGCCTGGCTTCACCTTTCATGCCTGGCTCTGTCTGCACCCCATGGATATAGCACCTACCCCTGCCCCCACCCGACCACTCCAGCGAAAGCAGCTGTACAGGTGGGTGACTGCCAGGGGCCGGGGACCTCCTACCAGGGTGAGCAGGAACAAGCAGACATAACTGGCTCGCCTGCCCCCAGCTTCTTCACCAGCAGCGGCTCAGGGTTTGAGGCCTTCTTCACGGCGGCCGGGACCCTGGTGGTGGCTGTGTGCACACGGAAGGAGTACTTGACCATGAGTTTGCCTGAAGTGTCCTTTGCCGACTCTGCCTGGGTGAGACCCCATCCTTCTCATGTGGCCCAGTAGAGAGAGGGGTGCTGAGTCCCAAGTATGGCCTAACATAAGGCTTCTGTTCTAGCACTGTGTGGCTATCGTCCACGTGCCTGGGCGCCGGCCCTTCAGCCAGAACCTGGTCCATGTCTACAAGGATGGCCATCTGGTCAAGACAGCACCCCTTCGCTGCCCCTCCCTCAGTGAGGTGTGCCAAGCAAGGTTTGGGGAGGCCTTGGATAGATGGGGGGACTTGGAACACAGTGGGCAGGGTGTGGCCTGGAGCCCTTGTGTCCTGTGCTGCCCCATAGGCCTTGGACTTTAGCCACTGGGGTCCATGCAGCCATGGGGGTCACTGTGAGGAACTGCATGTAGGCGGAGCCCCAGATTCTGCTGTGACCTGACTGCTCCCCCAACCCCGGTCCCACAGCCTTTCTCCTCCTGCTGTATCGGCTCCGCTGGGCACCGCACAACGACCACCACCACGGGGCTGCCCATGCCACCAGTCCCCACCACCCTGGCCTACACTCACCCTGCCCTCACCCGCTCCCAGTCAGTCCCAGCCTCCACGGGGCTTGGCTGGGGGTCCGGGCTGGTGGCCCCCCTGCAGGAGGGCAGCATCGACTCTACCCTCGCAGGCACCCAGGACACTCGGTGGGGCAGTCCCACGTCCCTGGAGGGTGAGCTGGGGACTGTGGCCATCTTTCACGAAGCCCTGCAGGCGACGGCTCTGTGGACCCTGTGCACCCTGGGTATGCAGCATCCTTCATCTCTGCCCCAGCCCCAGGCCAGAAGCTAGGGGTCCAGGGGTGAGAAGGCATCTCTGGGGGTCTCTCCTCTGGTCAGGCAGGCTCTGGACGGGGTTTGGCCAGAGGCCTAGCAAGGTCTGAAGCCCCCTTCCCACCTCCCAGGGCCCAATGAGACGGCACCCTTCAAGCCTGAGGGGGAGCTGCATGAGCTCAGCACCAGGCTGCTCCTCCATTACTCACCTCAGGTATTTGGGGGCCCCAGGGGAGTGGTTGGCTTGATTGTGCTACTTCCCGGCTCCCACACTGTGCCTGCCACCCCCTCCTCCCTCTGACCCTGGCTGCCTGCCCATTCCCCTGTCCCTAGGCTTGTAAGAACAACATTTGCCTGGACCTGTCCCCCAGTCATGGGCTTGATGGGCGCCTGACGGGCCACAGAGTGGAGACCTGGGATGTGAAGGTCTGTGAGCACATGTGGGTGGTGTGTGCAGGAGGCATGAACATGGGGCACATGTGTGTTTGGAGTCAGGTGGGGAGCAGTGCTGTGCCTGGGGAGGGTTTGGACAGTCCAGCTTGAGAGAGCAAAACTTCCCTTGTGGGTGGTCTGCTGGGGTGGAGCAGGGCAGGAAACTGACTGGAAGGCCCCCCTCACTGCCATCCTCCTTCCCCCAGGATGTGGTGAACTGCGTTGGGGGTATGGGTGCCCTCCTGCCCCTGCTGGAGCGAGTAGCTGCACAGCCCAAAGAGGCTGAGGCAAGTCCAGCTGAAACCCATGACCTCGTGGGTCCTGAACTGACCTCTGGCCACAAAACCCAGGGCCTGGTTCTCCCATTGGGTAAATCTTCAGGTAAGTGTTCCTGGTGCCTATGTTATGGGGCGGGAATCTTGGCATGGTAGGGGGGTGGAATGCCCAAGGTCTCCTGGCCACTGGCAGGCCCTTGACACACCTCTGTCCCCTTCCTGGTGGCTGGCAGAGGAACGGATGGAAAGGAACGCAGTGGCTGCTTTTCTGCTGATGCTGCGGAACTTCCTTCAGGGTCACATGGTGAACCAAGAGAGCCTGGTGCAGTGCCAGGGGCCTGCCATCATCGGGGCCCTCCTGCGAAAGGTAGGGCCTGGTGGGGCACGCATGGGGGATTAGGGATATGGTCAGCCTGTCTGACCGAGGGGACTGAGTGGGGAACCTGCTGCCCTGTCAGTCATGGAGAACCTCCTGGGAGGGTTGATACTTGAGTGGGCCCTGAAAGGCCGAGCAGGGTTGGATCTGGAAGATTTGGAGAAAGGCCCAGCACAAGTTGGGGTGGGGACCCGCACAGCAGGCAGGAGGCTTGCGTGTCAGAGGCGGCAGGGAGCCCCCAAAGGGTTCTGAGCAGGTGGGTGGCCATGTCTGTGGCCGTCATGGCTGTGCAGGGAAGGGTGGCAGCTGAGAAGTTCAGACAGCAGGTGGGCAGAGCCTGAGCCCTCACTCCAGCTCCTGTCTCACCCCAGGTCCCCAGCTGGGCCATGGACATGAACGTGCTCATGTCTGCCCAGCTGCTGATGGAGCAAGTGGCGGCTGAGGGCAGCGGGCCCCTCCTGTACCTACTCTACCAGCATTTGCTCTTCAACTTTCACCTCTGGACCCTCAGTGACTTCGCCGTGCGCCTCGGTAGGTGTGAGAACCTGAGCAAGGGGCTGGCCATAGGGTGGCTGAGCACTGAGAAGTTAGAACCCTGCTCTGGGGGATCTGAGGGACTCACCTGATAGGAATCCAGAATGCCATGGGGTGGCTGAGGGGACTATGACCCTGCCCTGGAAGTCTGACAGGCGCATGGCCCTGGCCTGGAGGATCTGAAGGGCCCAGCTCAGCCTAGTGGCCTGAGCCTCCTGCTCATTCCTGCTCAGGCCACATCCAGTACATGTCCAGCATAGTTCGGGAGCACAGACAGAAGCTGCGGAAGAAGTACGGCGTCCAGTTTATCCTGGATGCTCTGCGCACCCACTACAGGTGAGGCCAGTGGGGCCAGATGGGCCATGGGGGGCTGACGCTGACACGGTGGCCTCTGGCCTTGGGGACTGGGCGATGCGTTTACCTGACTCACCTGCCCACCCTCCCTCCCCGTCTCTCCCCCTCTCTCCCCCTCTCTCCCCACCTTTCTCTGGACCTGGCTGGGTGTGCCTGCTGACCTGCCAGCCCGCAGCGGGAGCGCCCCCTGGCTGCTGACGACCTACGCACCGTGCAGACCTCCCTCCTGGGCCTGGCAAGGGAGTTCCTGGTGCGGAGCCTCTCAGCAGATGACGTGCAGGTCACGCAGATCATGCTGAACTTTTTGGCAGCCACAGGCGATGATGGCCAGGTAGGCTGGAGGTTGGGGAAGGGGAGGCTTGGGTGAGGGGGGCATGGGGGCCTGGCACAGTGTGAGACTCTGCATCCCCAGGTGGTGGGTGCGCTGGACCTGCTGCTAGCCCTGCTGCACGGTTCCCTGGCGCAGGAGTCCTTGGCTATCTTTCTGTTGGAGCCAGGGAACCTCGAAGTGCTGCTGGCCCTGCTAGTGCGGCCAGGTTCACTGCCCCTGCTGCCCGATCGAGTCTGCAAGGTACACCCAGCCCATCCCCTCCCCTGGCATCCCATTCACTGGGGCCCCTGCCTGGGGTTCAGGGATGTACAGCAGGCCTTGGGCCAGCAGATGAAGCTGCCTTCAAGGGCCTCTTGAGCCACACACCTGCACGGTGACTTCCCCTCCTACAGTAACTCCTTCCACATGATGACAGTCCTCCGATGACCCCCACACAGATCCTGCGCAGACTGCAGCAGAACGAGCGGCTACCTGAGCGGAGCCGCCAGCGCCTCCGGCTGCGGGAGTGTGGTCTCCAGGGTCTGATTGCCTGCTTGCCTGAGGGGACTGTTTCCCCCCAGCTCTGCCAGGGCCTCTACAAGCTGTTCCTGGGGGCAGGTACACCTGGTTACAGCCAAGTGGAGGGGGTGACATGTCAGAAAAACAGGGCAAGCAGGCAGGAAGAAGGAAGGTAGTGGCAAAGGGGCCAGGGCTGGGCCCCACCCCTCCTAGTCGGGTCAGTCCCTCAGGTCCCCCCAACCCATCCCCCCAGATTGCCTGAACCTCTCAGATCTGTTGGCTGTGGTACAGCTGTCCCTCCAGGCTGACCTCAGCGTTCGCCTAGACATCTGTCGCCAGGTGAGCATGAGATGTAAAAGCTTTGAGGGAGGGGGAGGGCGGCTTCTACCCTCTGGCCTTCACCTTGCCTGTCTCATGAGGGGGTCTCTGGAGCCCTCCCCTGCAAAGGCCCCGGATGAGGGTCTGGGGCAGGCAGTTGGATGCGTCCTCACGTGCTGTGCTCTTGCCTGCAGCTCTTCCACCTCATCTATGGACAGCCAGATATAGTGCGCCTTCTGGCCCGACAGGCTGGCTGGCAGGATGTGCTGACCCGGCTATATGTCCTGGAGGCTGCCACAGCTGGCAGTCCCCCTCCTTCTTCCCCAGAGTCACCCACCTCCCCCAAGCCAGCCCCACCCAAGCCACCCACTGAGTCACCTGCTGAGCCTTCAGATGTCTTCCTGCCCTCAGAGGCACCCTGCCCTGACCCTGATGGCTTTTACCATGCTCTCTCCCCATTCTGCATGCCCTTTGACCTGGGCCTGGAACGGTCTAGCGTAGGATCAGGCAACACTGCTGGTGGTGGCGGCAGCAGTGGTACTCTTACTCCAGCCAGCCAGCCTGGCACTCCTTCCCCACTGGATGGGCCGAGGCCCTTTTCTGCTGCCCCTGGCCGCCACAGCTCCAGTCTCTCCAATGTGCTGGAGGACGGCAGCCTCCCAGAGCCCACCATTAGCGGGGATGATACCTCGAACACCAGCAACCCACAGGTGAGATGGGCCCACCCTGTGCCACTGCATGGTACCCACGGGAGGACACTTCTGTTACACAGGGCTGGCAGTGTAGCCTCTCCAAAGGTGTGGCCCTGTCTGACCAAGGTTGCACTGCCAGTCAGGCCTGTGCTGTCCCATCATAGCTCTCATCTGCAGTTGTGTTCCCAGAGGGCTCCTGGAACAGGGCGAGTCATGACGAGCCAGAGTGGCTGACACCAGCCAGGCTTCAGAAGGGCCCTCAAGAGAGCCTGTAGGGCAGAGACCTCAGAGGGTCCAAGGGCAGCAAACGCCAATGGCCCTGCCCTGGGCTTCTGGGTTTGGGGATGGGCCTCTGCTCATTCTATGTGAACTGCCTCATCTCTTCTTGGGAGTCTGGCGAGACCCCAGGATTCTGCCTGGAACTCAGGTAGTAGCTGAGACCCCTAAACTGTTCTTCCAGGCCCTTAGTGCCAGGCTCACTGTTAGCCAAATGCTCTGCCACCTGGGTGGCTACCCCAGGAGGGGTGCTGACTGGGGATGGATGGGCGTCAGCCTGATTCCCTCTGCGGCCCAGAACCCATGCCCACATCACCCACCTGTGCCCACAGCAAACCTCTGAGGAAGAGTTGTGCAATCTGCTCACCAACGTGCTGTTCTCGGTGACGTGGCGTGGTGTGGAAGGCAGCAATGAGGCTGCCTGGCGGGAGCGTGGCCAGGTTTTCTCGGTGCTCACCCAGCTGGGGGCCTCAGCCACACTTGTGCGCCCACCAGACTGCATCAAGCGCAGGTGAGAGGGCAAGTCTGGAGCGGGAGGGGCTTCAGGGAGCCTCGGGGGAAGGAAAGAAGACAGTCAGGTAGACCCTTGAGTTCTCCACTCACCCGCCAGCCTCCTGGAGATGATGCTGGAGTCAGCCCTGACCGACATCAAGGAGGCCCCCATGGGGGTCCTGGCCAGCCTCACCCAGCAGGTGCTTTGGCTGCTGCGTCTGCTGCAGGACTTCCTGTGTGCTGAAGGCCATGGTAACCAGGAACTGTGGAGTGAGAAGGTGCGGCCCCTCAGAGAGGCGTGAGCCACATGAACACTCAGGTTCACGCAAGGCTGCAGGGATCTGGTCTGGGAGGTGGATGGGTACACGTGCGCAGTTGTGGGTACATCAGCATGAATGCCTGTGAGCGTGGACTTGCCTGTGTGCACAAACCCTACCTGGCCCCCAGCGCAAACTTTACTTTGCTCTCTTTCCATGGACTCCTGGCCTCCCCTGGTGATGTCTGTTGGGAACCTGTTGTCTGTGGCAGCTCTTTGAAGGTGTATGCAGCCTACTTGATCGCCTGGGAGCCTGGCCCCACCTGGCCAACGGCACAGCTGATCTCCGTGAGATGGCACAGATTGGCCTGCGGCTTGTGCTTGGCTACATCCTGCTGGAAGACCCACAGGTGAGCACAGGGTGAGCATGGGGGCAGGGGGCATGGGAGGTGTGGGGAGGTCCAAGAGTGGCTGGGTGCCACTCAACTCTCTTGCACCCACAGCTGCATGCCCAGGCCTACGTGAGATTGCACATGCTGCTACAGACTGCAGTGCCAGCCCGCCGCGAGGAAGCCTGCTATGTGCTCTCCAAGCTGGAGGCTGCACTGGGGCGGGCGCTGAACACCTCTTCCTCCGAGTCAGCCACTGATAAGGCAGGGCCCCCACCTGCAGCCACAGCAGCTGCAGAGCGCTGCTCCTGGCTGGTGCCGCTGGTACGCACGCTGCTAGACCGTGCCTATGAGCCGCTGGGGCTGCAGTGGGGACTACCCTCCCTGCCACCCACCAATGGCAGCCCCACCTTCTTTGAAGACTTCCAGGCTTTTTGTGCCACAGCCGAATGGCGCCACTTCATCGACAAACAGGTGCCTGGAGGTGGGGCCCAAGAAGAGGAGTGGGGACTGGGGCCCCCATCGAGCACTGTTCTCCTCTGACCAATCCTCCAGGTGCAGCCAACCATGTCCCAGTTTGAAATGGACACGTATGCTAAGAGCCACGACCTTATGTCAGGTTTCTGGAATGCCTGCTATGATATGCTCATGAGCAGTGGGCAGCGGCGCCAGCGGGAGCGTGCCCAGAGTCGTCGGGCCTTCCAGGTGTGCCACAGGGGTGGGGATGGGAAACTGATCCACACATGTGCCCAGGAGATGGCTCACAAGGTGGAGAAATAGGGGTAGGACAGGCAGCAGCCAGGGGACTGACCTATTTCCCCCACCCCAGGAGCTGGTGCTGGAACCTGCGCAGAGGCGGGCGCGCCTGGAGGGGCTGCGCTACACGGCAGCGCTGAAGCAGCAGGCAGCGCAGCACTCCACAGCCCTGCTGCACTGGGGCACGCTGTGGCGCCAGCTCGCCAGCTCATGTGGGGCATGGGCGCTGAGGTGGGCCGGGCTTGAGGCAGCGTCACTGTGGAGGGGTGGGGCTTGGGAGGGAGGGGGTCACTTGGAACCCCAGACTGCCTTTGGGGTGAGGCCAGGGAGGGATGGGGGTGTCTACAGCCTTCTACCGACCCATGACCTGGGGGGCATTCTGCAGGGACCCTCCCACCCTCCGCTGGAAACTGTCCAGCGCTGAGACATACTCACGCATGCGTCTGAAGCTGGTGCCCAACCATCACTTCGACCCTCACCTGGAAGCCAGTGCCCTCCGTGACAATCTGGGTGAGGGAGTGTGCTGAGCTGGGTCCGCCCAACTCAATTGTCCCGTGTCCCATCCTGCCTTGCTTCATCTGAATACCCTTGGCCCATTGCAGGTGAGGTTCCCCTGACACCCACCGAGGAGGCCTCGCTGCCTCTGGCAGTGACCAAAGAGGCCAAAGTGAGCACCCCACCCGAGGAGCTGCAGGAGGACCAGCTCGGCGAAGATGAGCTGGCTGAGCTGGAGACCCCGTGAGTGGGGCCCTGGAGAGATCGGACTGGGGTGGTGGGCAAGGGGTCTGCTCCAGTGTGTGCATGCCTCTGTGGGATCAACTCCCTCTTCTGCTGCCCGACTACATCCCCCTGAAGGGACTGTCCAAAGCCAGATGGGGGGTGGGAAAGTCTCCTAACAGGGCTGAGTTGCTCTTTTAACAGCCAGGCACCCGAGGACAGCACTGAGAAACAAACCAGAGCGGGAAGGGGGCCCAGGGAGTGGGCAGGGGCTGGGTGAGGGGAGCAGGGGACAACGGTTGGCATCCTGGCAAAATATTCAGAAGCCTAGTGGGTGGCAGGCTGGGGACAGGGGCTGGGACCAGTAGGTTCTGGACCCTAGACAGGCCCTCCCCATCTCTGGGAGTCATGAGAGTATATACCCCATGACTCAATGGCACTTGGATGCCCTTTGGGCTTGTGAAGAAGGGGGTCCCAGAGCCTAGAGCCTGAGGTGGGTTGCTGGTCTTTAGGATGGAGGCAGCAGAACTGGATGAGCAGCGTGAGAAGCTGGTGCTGTCGGCTGAGTGCCAGCTGGTGACGGTAGTGGCCGTGGTCCCAGGGCTGCTGGAGGTCACCACACAGAATGTGTACTTCTACGATGGCAGCACTGAGCGTGTCGAAACTGAGGAGGGTGCGTCCTGGTGGTGTGGGTTGGGAAGATGGCAGGGAATGGCTGAGGTCTGGGTGGGCCTGGGGTGAGTGACTCCTGTACCTGCTGTTCCTCCCCATAGGCATTGGCTATGATTTCCGGCGCCCACTGGCCCAGCTGCGTGAGGTCCACCTGCGGCGTTTCAACCTGCGCCGTTCAGCACTTGAGCTCTTCTTTATCGATCAGGCCAACTACTTCCTCAACTTCCCATGCAAGGTGGGCACGACCCCAGCCTCATCTCCTAGCCAGACTCCCAGGCCCCAGCCTGGCCCCATCCCACCACACACCCAGGTACGGAACCAGGTGTACTCGTGGCTCCTGCGCCTACGGCCCCCCTCTCAAGGCTACCTAAGCAGCCGCTCCCCCCAGGAGATGCTGCGTGCCTCAGGCCTTACACAGGTGAGAGCCCGGAGTGTGAGGGATATGAAGTTGGGACCCTGAATCAGGGGGCAGTGCTGGACAGCCCACCTGGCTCACATCTTGATTGCCCCATCTCCAGAAATGGGTACAGCGTGAGATATCCAACTTCGAGTACTTGATGCAACTCAACACCATTGCGGGGCGGACCTACAATGACCTGTCTCAGTACCCTGTGGTGAGGGCCTCACTCTGCACCCCTCCACCCCTGCCCCTCTGACCTATCAGCCCTTGGTTCCCCCAAGTGTAGGTACCTGCCAGTGGGCCAAGCCCTGAGCTTGGTCCTGGGTAGGTGTGCCAATGAAGAGCTGGCCTCTGTTCCCTGCCAACCCCCAGAGGTCCCCAGCCTCACTACCTTCCCCTCCCCACCTAGCCTCTATTCCTCAAAAGGAATCCTGTTCCAGGACAGTCTGTCTTGCTCCCCTGTGACCCCTCTAAGTGGTGCTCCCCCAACCTGTGGGCAGGTTCTGTACCCGCCTTCTTGAGGGTGAGGGTGAGGGCAGGGCAGGGTGGGCTGGTAGGCCATCAGGGCCCTCATGCAGCCCCTGCTCGGGTGGGCGGCCAGTTCCCCTGGGTCCTGCAGGACTACGTGTCCCCAACCCTGGACCTCAGCAACCCAGCCGTCTTCCGGGACCTGTCTAAGCCCATCGGTGTGGTGAACCCCAAGCATGCCCAGCTCGTGAGGGAGAAGTGAGCATGCGGGCAGGGCTGGGCTTAGCGGGTAGGGAAAGGCGAGGGGAGGGCTTCTGCTGACGTGTCCAACTGTGGCCCCAGGTATGAAAGCTTTGAGGACCCAGCAGGGACCATTGACAAGTTCCACTATGGCACCCACTACTCCAATGCAGCAGGCGTGATGCACTACCTTATCCGCGTGGAGCCCTTCACCTCCCTGCACGTCCAGCTGCAGAGTGGCCGGTACGGCCCAGGGGCTGGTGGGCAGACTCGGGGGCAGACAAGGGGAGGAGGCTGGTCCTCCCCACATCCTGGGCCCACCCTTGGCTCCCTTCTTCCCTCCAGCCACAGCATCTCCCTCCCTGTTCCCATTCTCCCCACCTCACCTTGGCCCCATGCCCCTCCCCCAGCTTTGACTGCTCCGACCGGCAGTTCCACTCAGTGGCGGCAGCCTGGCAGGCACGTCTGGAGAGCCCCGCCGATGTGAAGGAGCTCATCCCAGAATTCTTCTACTTTCCTGACTTCCTGGAGAACCAGAACGGTAGGTGTGAGGCGCTGGCACTGGAGCGGGCAGGTGTGGGGATGGAGAGCAGATGGTGGAGTGGCCAGGGGGCAGTTGGGATGGACAGGGAGACAGCTGACGCAGTCCTTTGTGCCAGGTTTTGACCTGGGCTGTCTCCAGCTAACCAACGAGAAGGTGGGCGATGTAGTGCTGCCCCCGTGGGCCAGCTCTCCTGAGGACTTCATCCAGCAGCACCGCCAGGCTCTGGTGAGGAAGCAACCACAGGCAAATGGCAGGCAGCCGGGGTTCTGAAGGTCATGGGGGGTCAGCCGTCCCTGCACTGATTGCTGCCTCCCTACTCCCAGGAGTCGGAGTATGTGTCTGCCCACCTGCACGAGTGGATCGACCTCATCTTTGGCTACAAGCAGCGGGGGCCAGCTGCCGAGGAGGCCCTCAATGTCTTCTATTACTGCACCTATGAGGGTGGGCAGTGTGCTGGACTCTAGTCGGGGCCAGGACAAAATCAGGAGGGGTGGATGCAGAGGGCACGTAGGGAGCCCTGACTGCTCTGCCTACCTTCCCAGGGGCTGTAGACCTGGACCATGTGACAGATGAGCGGGAACGGAAGGCTCTGGAGGGTATTATCAGCAACTTTGGGCAGACTCCCTGTCAGCTGCTGAAGGTAAAGCCAGCTTAGAGGATAGTGGCCAGGGATGCCCATGCCATGGTGCTGACCAGCCACTTGCCCACAGGAGCCACATCCAACTCGGCTGTCAGCTGAGGAAGCAGCCCATCGCCTTGCACGCCTGGACACTAACTCACCTAGCATCTTCCAGCACCTGGACCAACTCAAGGCATTCTTTGCAGAGGTGAGAGGAAGACAGGACCTCAACTTTATATTATGTGAAATGGGTTTAACCCTACTGTCCTTACCAACCACTTGGGGCAGATGGGAATCCTAATCAAGGTCACTGATTTCAAAGCACCTTAGAAAATGAGCTAAACATGGGAAGAGTACGGGGGCAGGAGGGGTGCCCTCCTCATCAGGGCCAGGATAAAGTGTTGACTCACCTAACAAGCTCTGAAAGCCTTAGGGAGATCAGGAGGGAGGAGATCTGTCCTTGGACCCCTTCCATCGCCTTCCTAGGCAGGAACATTCCTGAATGTTGCCCCCAGGCCTGACTTTTTTTTAGGTTTCCCTCTCTTCCTGCCTTTGGGCTAGGGGGACAAGGAGTAACAGGGTGGGAGGACCAAGGTTGAAACTAAGCGTGATACTCTGGAAGCATCTTCCATGTCTGCCCCAGCTTCTCACCCACTTTCTGAGATGCCCTCCTAAAGTCTCTGCCTGTTGCTTGGAGGGACCTCTGCATCTGTGATACCTACTCCGTGACCCCTGGGGACTGAGGGTAAAGGAAGGGATAATGCTTCAGGGAGAAGATAGTGTAATCTGATAGTACTCAGGCATAGCTAGGCCTGCCCTTGTCCCTGCAGGTCGTCAGTGATGGTGTACCCCTGGTGCTAGCTCTGGTCCCCCACCGGCAGCCCCACTCCTTCATCACCCAGGGTTCCCCAGACCTGTTGGTAAGTGCATTGTGCAGAGCCCTAGCTCAGCTCCACTCCCCCTCTGCCTCTGCCACAAACCCATCTCTGCCCCCTCCTGCCTTCAGGTGACCGTGAGTGCCAGTGGGCTGCTGGGTACCCACAGCTGGTTGCCCTATGACCGCAACATAAGCAACTACTTCAGCTTCAGCAAAGACCCCACCCTGGGCAGCCACAAGTAGGACAGAGGGCTGTGGGTGGGTTGGGCTACAAATGCTCTGCACCCTGAATTATTCCTCTCCCTAATCGGAATGTAGGCCAGCTGCAGGGGAAAGGTCTGACCAGGCTCCCTGAGGGCCTGGGTCTCTTCCATGTGGCCTGGCCTCACTTGCCATCCCCCTCACTGGGTCAGGACGCAGCGACTGCTGAGTGGCCCATGGGTGCCAGACAGTGGTGTGAGCGGACAAGCACTGGCAGTGGCCCCTGACGGAAAGCTGCTATTCAGCGGTGGCCACTGGGATGGCAGCCTGCGAGTGACTGCACTATCCCGTGGCAAGCTGTTGAGCCAGCTCAGCCGCCACCTTGGTATGAACAGCCTTGGAGGCACGCAGGTATGGGGCCGGGTTCTGAGGCTGGCCAGGGCGGATGTGATTCCTCCATTTTGCCTGTACCCTCCCCTTCCCGTGCAGATGTAGTAACCTGCCTTGCACTGGACACCTGTGGCATCTACCTCATCTCAGGCTCCCGGGACACCACATGCATGGTGTGGCGGCTCCTGCATCAGGTGTGCCTGATGGGCAGCTCTGTGGGGTCCCCATAGCCCAGACCTACAGCCCATCCGTCCCTCGGTGGCCTTCCAGTCCTGCCCTCCTGTCTTTCCCTTCCCTTTGCTACCATGAGCAAGTCGGGGGTTCCATGACCCTCCAGCTCTCTAGTCTTGGACAAGGCCTTCGTTTCCTGAGCCTCAGGGGCCAGTCCTAAGCCAACCCTGGTCATCCACAGGGTGGTCTGTCAGTAGGCCTGGCACCAAAGCCTGTGCAGGTCCTGTATGGGCATGGGGCTGCAGTGAGCTGTGTGGCCATCAACACTGAACTTGACATGGCTGTGTCTGGATCTGAGGTGTGTGTATGCATGTGCCCTGGGGAGGGTGAGTTTGCTGGACAATCCCCCTGGAGCCCAGATTCCTGCCCAGGACCCTAAGTTGCCTTCCTGCAGGATGGAACTGTGATCATACACACTGTACGCCGTGGCCAGTTTGTGGCAGCACTACAGCCTCCGAGTGCCTCAGTGCCTGGACCTATTTTCCACCTGGCATTGGGGTCTGAAGGCCAGATTGTGGTACAGAGCTCAGCGTGGGAACGTCCTGGGGCCCAGGTATGGGGAAGGGGTACCCAGCAAAGATGGAGGGGCAGTTGGGATCCTGTGCTTGCTGACACTCCCTGCTTCTTCCAGGTCACCTACTCCTTGCACCTGTATTCGGTCAATGGGAAGTTGCGGGCTTCACTGCCCCTGGTAGAGCAGCCTACAGCCCTGACGGTGACAGAGGACTTTGTGTTGCTGGGCACCGCCCAGTGCGCCCTGCACATCCTCCAACTAAACACGTAAGCCCCCCCCCATTTATGAGTTCATGGCCCCTGAAGGTTGTGGTCATTGGTGTAGAATAAAGTGGGGGGGATTCCCCCTAGGAATCCACACACCATACATGTTTGTGGGCACATATTTCAAGGTTTGTTACCTGTCCCCTCATCTTCCCATAGGGAGGTCTTGCCCTGGGCCTCCGCTTAGCCACAGTTGTGGGAGATTTCTTTGTGTATAAAAGTTTCAATTTAGCCATCCTTAAAATGAGGACAGAGAGGGTATATGGGATAAGGGATATCTGCTGGTCGCAAAGCCCCCTTGCAGTCGCAAGTTGGTGTATATCCCCTCTCCCTTCCAGACTGCTCCCGGCCGCGCCTCCCCTGCCCATGAAGGTGGCCATCCGCAGCGTGGCCGTGACCAAGGAGCGCAGCCACGTGCTGGTGGGCCTGGAGGACGGCAAGCTCATCGTGGTGGGCGCGGGGCAGCCTTCTGAGGTGAGGATGGGGCGGGGGTGGGGAGGCCCCTCGAACGGGGCGGGGCGCAGCGCGGCGGTCCCAGCTGACCCTTACGCCCACCAGGTGCGCAGCAGCCAGTTCGCGCGGAAGCTGTGGCGGTCCTCGCGGCGGATCTCCCAGGTGTCCTCGGGAGAGACAGAATACAACCCTGCTGAGGCGCGCTGAACCTGGCCCGTCCGGCTGCTCGGGCCCCGCCCCCGACGGGCTTGGCCCGGAAGGCCCCGCCCAAAAGTCGGCGGGAACACCCCGGGGTGGGCCGCCCAGGGGGTGGGCGGGGCCCCACCCTACCCAGCTCAGGGATTGGCGGGCGATGTTACTCCCTCAGGGATTGGCGGGCGGAAGTCCCGCCCCTCGCCGGCTGAGGGGCAGCCCTGAGAGTCAGCGCTGGCGTCTGCGGCCGTAGCAGCACTTTTTGCACAATCTGGGGCTGGGTTCCCCGGCTTCCAAGTCCCCGTTTCGCCACAGCACGAGGGCCGCCTGTGGCCTTAATTCCTAACGGCGGCCCCGGTTCTCCCTTATCGGCAATAAACCTAGCCTAGTTTTGTAGCTGCTCTGTCTTCGACTGTGCGTGCGCGCGCGGCGTCTCGGACTGCCGTAGCCACGGTCCCAGGGTCGCGGTCTCAGTCTGGCCTGGCTCGCGTTCCCTTGGCCCGTGACCCCCTCTGGGCTCACTCGTCCCCCTCCGCGTGGCCATCGCTGAACTGGGGCCTCAGTTTCCCCGGCCGTGCAGCCCCTGCCCCACATCTCGCCCCGGCTCGTGGTTTCCCCAAGATTTCATCTCTTCATCCGGTCTCCCTCGTACGCCATTCGTCCAAGACCGCAACCTGGCCAGGCGTCCCGCAAGCGCGTTTGCATTCCTTCGCCGGGCGGGGGCGACAACACCTGAGGCCGCGCCCCTCCAGCTTGGCCCTGCCCCCTCATTGTCTTGCCTACTTCTTGGGCCGCCTTGTGGCGCCGCTGTGGTCGCGAGGTTGGGGTTGGGGGCCAGAACCACCGCAGAGACTCCACGTTGTCTTCTCGGAGGGCTCGGTCGTGCCCTGCTGAGTGGATCCATCCTGGCGGCCACCGGTCAGGAGGAGTTAGGGGCAGAGCCCTTGCTGAGTGGAGGGAGCCGGGGGCTGCCTCTCTGTCCCCCATCTCCAGACTCGTGATCCTGCAGGTGTTGTGTGTGCTGATGTCGGCAAGTCAGGGTGGTGTGGGTGTGCAGGGTGGTTGCATTGTGTGTGCGTATTCGTGGGCCTGGAGACGGATGGGAGGTGGGAAGGGTTCCGTCCCCGCTGCTCTGAGTGGGCTGGGCGGAAGCCAGTCCTGTCTGCTGCTGCGTCCTGGTCACAAGCCTATCGACCATCCAGGATCTTGCAGGGTCCCTTAATGTAAGTGACACAAATGTACACACCCCACATGTGGCAAGGGCCACCAGGTCGCGCACACCCTTGGCCACAGCACTGTGTTGCTGACTTAGCCATACACATGGGGACATGGTGTGGGATAGACTGGTACCCAATATGTGGTGGTGGATACTGGGGAGTTGGAGGGCCTTCCCGGGTGTCTCCTCCATTCCTTGTCTCCAGGCAAGCTCTCCTTAGTCTAGACGAGGAGCTTCTCTTCCTCAAACCTCAGGAAGTGGGTCCCATCAGATTCAGCCCTATAGGATCCAGGTAGGACTGAGTCTCAGGCCCTCTCTGAATTTCTGGATGAAGTAGGATCAACTAGGGGATCTCTGGGCCCGTATCCTCCATTCCCTTGCTGAACCCACCAAGGTAGCATTCCACCCAGTTCCTGATCAGGAGAGGGCTGGACACTGACCCTTGAGGAAGGACTGCAAGCATGGTCACTGCAGAAAGTCCTCCTGCCTTGGGGCTTCAGGATGTTGGGTTCCTGAACTATAGCTGAAAAGCCTGGCAGTGAGCCTCCCACTGGCCAGTACGTCTCTCCAGCCTGGTTCTGGCTAAGATGGAGCTAGAAGGCATGTCTCCCCTATCCTCCCTACCATCCCTGGACTCAGACCAAGTGTTTCGCAACATCTTTGAGACAGGGTGGTTTCCAACCTGTTTTCCCTCCTGAACTGTACCTGACCCTTCTAACTTTGGCCAGCTCTGTCACCTCCACCCCATCTGACACAGGAGGAAACTGGTCCAGCGCTAGAGTGAATCAGGTTGAAGTGAGAAAAGGGGGACAGACTACCCCAAGGGACTGCCAACCTCAGGCCTGGAGATTTCCCCCATATTCCTGCACATAGCCCTTTTTGGACTGAGAGAAGCAGCTCCCAGCTCCCCTGCCTGGGGGCTGCCTAAAACTCTCTAACCTCTTCTCCAAGAAACAGCCCCAGGGAGCATTACCCACTAACAGCCATGCTTCACAACTCTAGCCACAGCAAAGGCCTGACCTATGTGGGTAAGCATCCCTTGATTCACATCATGGGCACCAGGCAGGCTGAGAGGTACCCCAAGTGAGTAGGTCACACCCAAGTCCAGCCACAGGTTCTGGAGTCTCTCAGATCCTGTGTACCCTGACTGCACTAGATCGGGAGGACAAGTCGCTTCCAGGCAGAAGAAAGCAACAACACTTCCTTTCCAGTTCAGCTTTATTTTGCAAAAATTTACAAGGCCTCCTTTGCACAGAGATGCTTGTGGGGACCACATGAATCAATGTGCCCTCACAGTCCAGACTTGGTGGCAGAGACAGGACACAAGTGCCATGGTAGACAGTGCCATGGTCTTTCTTCCTGTGCCCTGGATAATTGGATGAAAAAAAAATTGGATTTAGTGCTGTGGTAGACAGGAGGTGCAAATGGACCCCCAAAAGGAAGAGATCAAGGAAGTCTTCCCAGAGTAGAAGATTCTTGCCAATATGCCAGATGGAGAACGGAGATTGGCAAGAGCAGAAGTCTGGAAGGTTATGAGAACAGGGTAGGAAGGACAAGGTGTCCAGAGTGGTAAGCAAAGGGGAAGTAGATGAAAATGGAAAAATAGGCCAGACAGCTCCTGATGCTGTGGTATAAGCTTTTGACTCTACATAGTAGGGACCACTGGCTTCAAACCTTTTCGGCAACAAAGTTTAGGTGAGGCTACCCAGGGACCCTAGCCTTGGTTCCTTGCTCCTGACCTGATCTGTCTTTTCTTCCACAGGTAAGATCCTGAGGAGGCAGGAGAGGGACAGGGAAGGAGTATGGGTAGGGGCAGGGGGAGCCCTGTACCCCAATACTTCCCCTTTCCTCCTGGAGCCTCCAGTGTCTCAGGCAGCATCATCCCAGTCTACTGTACCCTCCTGGCCACTGTGGTCCTCGGTCTGCTTGCCTATGTGGCCTTCAAGTGGTAGGTGGTCTGGGCACTGCCTTGTGGCACCCCCTTCCCTGTCTGGACTCCCAACCAATTCCCCGTCTTGAAGGTGGGGGCAGGTCGGTAGGTCTCCCTTTCTCCCCACAGCTGGCGCTCACACAGACGAAGACAGCAGCTGGCCAAAGCTCGAACTGCAGAGCTGGGAGGTCTCAACAAGGACCAGATGCATGGGGATAGCAGTGTCTTCCTGGACTCTCCTAGCAGTCTGGAGCCCTGTGCCTCCAACCAGGGTGAGCCCCTTTCCCAGAACTGCCTCACCACCCAGCCCTTGTGTGGTCCTCGTATCTCTTGCCTCAGGACCACATCCTGAGCTTGGGTGCCAACTTTACCTTGATCTCCCTCAGCAGCACCAGGAGAAAGTGGAGCGGCTGCTAGAGGTGTCAGTTGAAACTGACAAGGGCTGGCGGGGACTGGCAGACCATCTGGGCTACCAGGCTGAGGCTGTAGAAATCATGGCCCAAGGCCAGGTGCGAGCCTACACACTGCTGAGGGACTGGGCTGTCCAAGAAGGCAGTGGCGCCACCCACAAGGTGCTAGAGAATGCCCTGGTTGCCATGGGCCAGGAAGATGCGGTCCAGGTCCTGGGCCCCCAAGCTGAGGGCTGCTCTGTGGCATGAGTGCTGCCTCCATAGCCTGGCTCCTCGGAGCCTGCTCTGGTGCTCCCGTACCCCCATCTCATGTATCTTTCCCTTCATGGGCTTCCTGGGGTTGCTGGGCTCAGCCTGCTCTGTTCTGGAGAAGAAAACCGAAGATCCAGCCACCATTCACTTCCCCTCACCCACCCATCCCCTCCAGAAGAGGCCCCAGGATATGGTAGGGAAGTGGGCAGTGAGGAGTGGTCCTGCTCTTTGGATCCCTACTCCACCTCCTCTTAAGCCTCAGCTGGTTTTGCTACTTTTGTAACCCGTATTAAAGGTGGTTCGGACTTTTCCGCTGGCTCTATCTGGCTCCTTGGGCCTGTGAGACAGTTGGGTGGGTGGCTATGAGGGAGAGGCCCAGAAAAGGGCTGGGGGTCCCTAGGCTGTGGGAGGGGCCTCTCCAAACAGCACCTGGGATGGCAGGGACTGTGATCCTATAGAAGATGCATGGGCTCTGGAGGCACAGATCAGAGTTCATATCCTGTGCCTACCATTTGCTGGCTTTATCCTGTTTGGAAGCTTTTTTACCTTGCTGATTATTTTACCTTGGTATTTTATCAACTTCCTTAGCTGGAGAACAGTAAGTTTAAGTGACACTTTCAGTAGTTTCCCCCACACCTAAGACTCCCAGGTTGGTGCTGAGGGACCCCAGGTTTGAGATCATTTTCCTGACTTGTTCTGTGAGCAGCACCAAGGGGAGGCTGGAGGCCTGTTCCTCTAGACAGGAGGCAAGAAGCAGGCTGGTCCTGGGCAGTTAATTACCAAGGGTCTCAGGTCACCTCTAGAGAAGGAAAAAAACGCTCTTTACAAGACCTGAACTCAGGACAAGGCATTCCAAATGTACTTCCACATCTGCTCATGTGGTTGCTGCACACACCAAGAACAGGTGGGTCTCCTGGGCAGCTCAGGACAAGGCAGGTGCAGCCAAGTCCATGCATATGCACTCCATGCATACGCCCACCCCAAAGGGTAGAGGCAGGTAGGTTGGCACAGTAAGTGCCTTTTGAAGAAGTTGCTATAAAAGATAAGCCCTGCCTAGGAAGAAACAATGCCTACTATCCTGGTATCTACCAGCATAAGTAGGCTTCAGAGGCACAGCCATCCAAACTCAAAAGACATGGGTTCCAGTCATGGTCTAGTGGGGCCCAAGGTAGATCCTGTCCCTCTGCTGACACGAGATGCAACTGAGATTGACTACTCTGTGAGTACCAAGCTCATCAGACTGCTGCTACTGCTACCCTCAGAATAGTTGACCAGGGCTGCTTAACACTCCGTAAATCTTACCCTTAAACTAAGGAAGAACCGGAAGTTTACAGCCACCTTCCTCCACAGATGACCTTAGGGCAATAACCCTGAAGAACCAGGAGAGGAAGCAGGGAAGATACGCACCAGCTGTTGGAGACATCATAAGCTGGAGCTTTGGGTCAAAACCATGCATTTGATTTGGTTGCAAGCAGCAGTGCATGTGGTTGTACCCCTGCACTGCAAACCCACTGAAAAGAGAAATGCCCCCTTTCAATGTGCTTAAGCACATTAACTAAAATATTCTCTGTAACAGACATAATTTCAAGACGTTAGGAGGGTTGAGCAAATTACAGTCTGTGCATGTGATATAATAATATGCTTTAGCCCGGGCACAGTGGCTCATGCCTGTAATCCCAGCACTTTGGAAGGCCAAGGGGAGTGGATCACCTGAGGTCAGGAGTTCGAGACTAGCCTGACCAACATGGAGAAACCCCGTCTCTACTAAAAATACAAAATTAGCTGGGCATGGTAGTGCATGCCTGTAATCCCAGCTACTAGGGAGGCTGAGGCAGGAGAATCGCTTGAACCTGGGAGGCAGAGGTCGCAGTGAGCCGAGATCATGCCACTGCACTCCAGCCTGGAGAACAAGAGCGAAACTCCATCTCAAAAAAAAAAAAAAGTGCTTAAAACAGTTTTGAAGGCTGCAGTATCATGAGAAAACAATAGCATGTCTAAGTTTAAAATATTTTCCCCTCTTTTAACACTTCCTTTAATACAAGGATATTAAAAGAGTTACTAAACCTCTCTGACCCTTAGTTTTCCTCATCATTCCTGTGCCTCAGGACTGTGACCACAACCTGAGCTCTAAGTGCTCAGCACAGTGCCTAGCAGGCAGTGACTGCTCTAATTGCTACTCACCCTGCCAAAGATTTGGCAGGCCACAACCTGACCTGACCTCAAGAACACTGCTGCAGTGGGCAGAATAACCCTGGTGAGAAACAGGCGAGACCAACCTTTTTGCAAAGATGGGCCCCAGTCTGTCCTGAAGCCCTGTCTTTCTCACTGCCTAGATAACTGATCCAGCAAGTAGGAGAGAGGTCTCTCATGAAGCCCTGCATCTTCCTGGAAATGTTCACTATCATCATAACCTGTGTACTATACCTCTTTTATAGGGGTCCTATTCTGTCCTCTAGTGTCCAACCCCAGTGTTAGGGAGCACAGTGGGAAGCTAGGGAACCCAAACATCAAATGAGCATTTCAAACCATGTGTCCAACACTTTGGGATTCAAAAGCAGGAGCATTACTTGAGGCCAGGAAGTCAAGACCAGCTTGGGTAACATTGCAAGACCCTGCGTCTCTACAAAAATTTTTAAAAAATATTAGCTAGTAGTCCTAGCTACTCCAGAGGCTGAGGCAAGAAGATTGCTTGGGCCCAAGAGTTCAGGGATGCAATGAGCTATGATCACACCACTACACTCCAGCCTGGGTAACAGAGCGAGACCCTGTCTCTGCCCCAAAAAAAAACCTTCCAGTGGGCTCAGAAAAATCAAGTCCATGGGGGGAAAAGATTCAATGCTTCTCTCCACCCAGGAGAAAGTATCAAGGGAGAAGATAAATTTGCCTTTCTCTTGACTGATGATTAACCAAAATAAAGAAGCCTAGTGCCAAAGATGCCCTAGATGCTACTTCTTTTGCTCTGGAATGCATGTGCAAATTGACCCAATGCCTGAGCACAGTCATTAAGATCCCAAGCCTACAAGTGTCAGTCACCTGGCAAACGTCTGCCTAAGTCAGAGTAGGACCTGTGGAGAATGAACAAGTCCTGTAATAAAATACAATCACAGGGATTAACCTTGGACTTCACACATCTAAGGCCACTATCTCTCCTTTTTCCAGTGATATCATTACACACAAATATGCTTGATTAACTTTTAGGGAACACACATGCCAATTTCTTTAATTGATTTTATTTTTTTACATAAAAAGTTCAGTAAAAATTGGATAAAGTAAAGTGATTTTAAGCAGTAAATCAATCTTATCAACATAGCACAAGGCTGCCAAAACCACAAGGCAGCCTGCTTTGGAATATTTACATGATAACAAATTAAACCTTGCAGGAGAACTTAAACTGTCCTTACAAAGTCTTCCTGTGATCCTAGCATGTAGAGGCTAAAAGCAAAACGAAAACCAAACAAAAACCAGGAAAAAACAAATTATTTTCAATATATTCACATATACATTAAAATATAATACAGATCATCAGGGTAAAGGGTTGTGGGTGGGGATGCGCATGGGTCTGTGCGCTGACAGCACCGCCAAGGAGGAGACCCAGGTTTAAGAGTGGAGTCAGGTCTGGCCAGGGTCTTTTCTAAGCCCTTGCACCTCTGATGGCTTCTAACCACATGCCAACAGCTCACAACTAGGTAATCACTTGTAGATGGAGTTCATTTTTGTGGCCTTCAGTTGACATCTTCAGGGTTGAATTCCCCAGGGTGATGTGTCATCAGTAGCACAGTGCTGACAGGGGTGGGACAGAAAGGCCCACAGGATTTCCTCTCCCTAGAGTCTGTCTTACCTGACCACCCATCCTCCCACCCTGGCCCAACAGTCACTCTAACTCAGTGTCCTCTTTGGGTTTGTAAACAGCCCCAAACTTTTGCATGTACTTCTTAATGTACTCCTTGGTTTTGTGTTTCACATTCTCATTGCACTCCAGGTCCTCAGGATTCTTACAGTACTTCAGCTCCTTATTCATAACACCGTGAGTCAGCTGTCCAGGGCACAGGAAGAGAGACCACAGCCACCAATCAGAGCAGAAACGATTTGAGGGGGAGGACAGGGGTGGTAATCCAGCCTGCTGCTTCAGGGCCCTTCTCACCAAGACAGGAAGTTAATAAGGGGGTAGATGTTGGGGCAGACTGGTGCTAGGATCACCAGAAAGGATAAGCTGAGCTCTGAAAATTTCTTAGAGAACTACTGCTCTCACGTAAGGGTGTGCATCCCTCCCCAAACCTTCCCTCCCCGTTCCTGGGTCCCCAGCCCTGACATCTGACAAGAAAAAAAAAAAAAAACTTTCTATGATTTAAAGGGCTTCTTAGAAAGTACACAGTTTGCCCAGAACGTTGCCTGGTGGGCTACCAAAAGCAAGGGGAGTACCTTGCGAGCCAGATGTTTAAAGTCTTCAGTTGTGGTAATTCTTCCCACTTTGCAGTCAGGTTTCCGGTAAGGGTTCAGGCACTGGACGATGAACTGGGACATCTGCAGGCAAAGAAAAGAGAACACATTGCTCAACAGTCCAGAGAGGGCGAGGAGTTGTACTGACGAAATAACTAGAAAAGGTAGTGAGTAAAGCCAGCCAATCCTTTCTCCCTCAGGTTGGCTGGTTTGGACAGTGGAATACTAGTAAGCCAGTAAGATCTGAAAAAAGGATACGGACAGCCTGAGAGGGAAAGAGCTCCCCTGGATGGACTAAGCAAGGCTTAAAGGTGGCTGGAGGGACTCAAAAGCATGACTTCAATGTCGACTCCTTCAGCAGCCCCAGGTTTCAGCCAATGAATTTTGTGTCCTCGGCATAAAGACAGTAGCTAGGTTCTCTGGGCCCTAGAGGCAAGGCAGGGCACAGCAGGTGTTCCAGAGCTTCTGTGAGGCTTAGCAACCCCAGGAACCATAGGAATTTTGTCATTGAAGGGTACTCAGATTCTTTAAGTGGTCATACCACAGCATGTGAAGCAGATCAAGCATGATATGCCAGCCAGCAAAGGAAAACCTGGGCAGAATCATTTTCATTCCACCACTTACTATGTCCTCCCTGGTCTAAGTATGGTCTGTCCTACCCAGGTGCTCCCAAACACTCTAGGAATAGGACCTTCAGAGGTATTTGTGGTGCTAAGATCACAGAGGACAAAGAGAATAAAGAGGCCAGTCACAGCTATTTCATCAGAGAGCACTCTGAACAAGGTCTACCCATGACTAAAATTCAGTGAGCCTTCAGGTGTTCAAAGAACAAGGCTATATATCACAAGGGTAGGCACTAAAGAAACAGTTGCTGGTTGAATGAGCTGAAATACCAATATGTTCACAAAGGGATCATAAGAAACTGAACTTTATCCCTGGATAAGCCTTTTAACTCAAGGTTTTTCTGGGGTTTCCTGGCCTCCAAACTCTCTTCCT